CAAGGGGGCTTCACCTCTGCCCGCACCAGGGCCAGGCAGCTTGGAGCTGTTCCCATAGTGCTGCTGCTTCTCCCAGCCCTCCACTCCACTGCTAGTGTGGGCACAGCTTCCAGCAAGTGGGGACTCTGCTGGGCACCTGCAAACTGCATCTCTGCTGCCACCACCTCCTCCTCGCCTCTCACCCAGCTGAAGGAAGGCTGAAACTTCCCGACCACCAGTTGTGGTCCCACTGCAGCCCAAGGGGACGGTGGGGGGAGACAGGGAAAAGAGGCAGAAGCAGCATGGGCACAGTTTGCAGATACCTGGTCTTGGCACTGTTCCCCACCAGCAGGAAGCTGTGCTCACACAGCAGCTGCTGGGGGCTTGGAAAAGCAGCAGCAGCAGCAGAGGTGCAGCTCTCAACTGCCTGGCCCCAGCCTAGGTTCATGGAAAGCCACACAAGCCACACTGGCCTGGAGCCAGGCTATTCCGGCCTGTGGCTTGTAAAAGGTTGTGGGCCCCTAATCTACAGCATTCCTCGCTGCTATTACTCTCTGCTCTGTTTGCAATTGTGATTCACCAGATGGCATGCACAAAGCAGGCTCCTGTTGAGAATCCAATGATCCTCACTACATGTTTCCTTTCTCGCACTCCCCACCCTCAGGTGAGGCTGCCACCTACTTGGAGCTGCAAATGCCATTTGTTCCTCAAGTCAATATTTGCTTTGTGTGTACATGGTTGGAAGGAAAACTCCATAATTAAGTCAGCAATCACATGGGACTGAACATGAGCCTAAAGAACAGGAAGGACTATGTGGCCTGGAACAGGGGAAAGGGAGGCGAGGCCTGTGCCTTACAATGAGATGCCCAGTACAGAGGCAACATGCTGGTTAGCCCTCAACCCTCATTCCTTCCAGATTAAAGAGCTGATATTATAGCTGTAACCTTGTTTAATTTCAGGAAACACCTCTATAAGCTTTACAACCTAACCAGCCTAGCAATGTTTTGAGTGTCTGCAACCAGAGTGGAAGGACCAGAATGAAGCAATTATGGTGGACTAACAATCTGGCTTCCTGTCTCTGATGACCACACAATTTAGCACAAAAGTTAAAAGAGTTTAAACCTCCTCCATCTCACTACCTCCCACGCAGCAGGTCAGACATCACAAAAAGCCATTGCTGATTTGGCAGTTGTGGCTTAGAAGGGACATGAACAAGATGGCAGAAGCTGGGCCAGGTTGGAACTGGGGTGCCTTGGCACAGCTCTGGGTGAATGGGCTAGCAGGCTCAGAGGATCGTGATTCACTCACAATATTTTGTTGGAAACTAACTGGTAAAGAGAATACTCAATACTCAGAGTGTCTAAAATCCCTGACACTGTGAATTGGGGAGGGAAGGAGAGGGGAAGAGGGAGAAGGAGGCAGAAAGTGTGTACACATGCATGCACTAGAAGGGTAAGGAAGAAGAGAGAACAAGTCAAAAGGTGTCCCTTTCTCCTGCTACACCTCCCTACCACTCCAACCTAGCGCTGGCAGAATGAGTCAGACCCTAGCGCTCAAAAGCAGTGAAAAGCAAACAAACTCCTCAGCACCCCACAACTGGGCTGACAATGATACTTCTGGAGACACAGGCTGAAGGCTTCAATGTCCCCTTCCCCTCCATTAAATACCAGTGAAAAGAATCCAACTAAAATATTGCATTTCATAACTGTTGGCTATGGAGTCTTTGAACACCTCCTATCTCAGTGGTGGTATATCCAGCTTCTCCATAGTCAGCAAGCTTCTTTTCACCCATAAAGCATCACTGTACCACACAGCACTTTTGTGGAACTTTGCAAACTGAACCCCCCTACAGATAATGAAACCTAAGAGCACCCGCTCAGAGATAAATATTATTACCCTCCTTACACAAATGGGAGACCCTGATGCAGGGGCTAAGGGGCTGCTCTACTCTGAGGAGCATTCTGTAGCACTGGCATTGTAGAACCAGCATTCATCTTTGCTGAATAGCTTCCAGATCTAGCGAACTCAGATTCTCATATTTCTCTCCTCCTCAACTTGCCCTGAGACCAGAGTCAAGCTGGGTCCTCTCCTATTCATCCACAGTTTCCAGCAGGAAAGGCTCTACAGGTCAAACTGTGGTCTCAGCAAAACCTGTGCCTTCTCAGCGCCTGTGACAGGTTCACACAGGTTTAACGGACCTTTAATTCTTTTGAGGACATCCAAAGACAGACTAGATTCCACATCACATTCTCACAGCAGTGTTGGCTCTTCCAGGCTAACAGAAGCAAAAGGCAGTACTAGGATCAGCAGATGCAACAGAGTGAACAAAGGACTAACTTGCTAAGTACCCCTGGTTGAGTAGCATACCATTTGAGGCTGGGATTCAGATTCCTTCTTTCAGACCTTTCCTTTTCTAAAGCCAGACCTGACACCTCCAAAGTTTAAAGGCTACCACCCCCTAAGGCCATCCTTGCAGGATCTGTTGGAAATGCTACTGTCTAAAGTCTACCATTTTGGATCCACATGCTGGGAAAAAAAAGAATTACACATGCAAGTAACTTAACTTGCATATTTTTAAAGCAGCTGGAAAGTATTAGGACCATTAATAACGACCAGGGTACAAGAGATGAATGGCACATGCTGGGGGGAAATCAGAAAGGATTTTCTTCTTCCCTAGTACAATCATCCTGTTGCAGTATGGGAGCTCTCCTCTTGTCCTCCACCCATTTCCAAAACACAGACACTCACCTGATTAGCCCAGCAATTAGAGCTGCTGGTGATACAATTGGTGTGATCTCACAAGCTGGCAAGCTAGCAGCCTGGCATGATGGGGTCTCTTTTGTTCACAAGCCAAATTTTAACTTTTCCTAAGGGGACATTTAATGCTGTGCTGTAAATAGCCAGATCCCCGTGCTACCAGCAGCACCTGTTGTGTTCCCTCTCAGATGCATAAGAGCCACTTCCCCAGAAACACAAGCATGAGGTGGAACCAACATCCCCCTCCTTCCCTGCTTGGCGATGGCAACAGTGTAGCTGGCAACAAAATTAAGGAACAAGTATCATGGCTCAGTAGGTGGTTCCCCCTAGCTACTAGCAAGACCAGCTAATGCAGAGTTTTTAGCTGCTCCCACAGAAGGCAGCAGGAAGAGTGGGTGTTTAAATAGAAACAGGTGCTGATATTGTTGAGGCCAGAGCTTTTGGATCAAGACTCTTGCATCTCTCCAGGGGTATTGAGAGATGCAGGATTCGTTATGTCTGATCAAATCATTTGTCCACCTCAGTGGTTCTCAATTTTTTTTTCAGGCCCTTTTAAAGTCTGCTATTTTGTTGTGTACCTCAACAAGCCACAGAAAACTGTGTACCTGTGTAGCTCACTACAACCACAGAAACCTCTCCAGCATCCTGAGAGAGACATACAGTACAGTTATTCGTCACGTTTACTTTATCTCCTTTTTCCTCCGTTTCTATTTTCCCTTTCTCCGTCCTTCTCTGTTACTCTCCAGAAGTTCACAACACACCCTCAGAGGGTGCGTCTACAAATTCATTAATGTGCCATAATTACTGTACATTGTTTGGTACTTGTATAACCAAGTAGAAATCAAATGTGCAGTAGCGCCAGTGCATGGCTTTTTTAGTGATGCTAACTGTACAGTAGCCTAGTACTACTGTGCAGTAGCATATGAGCACGGTTTTTGCCCTGCATGCTACTGTGCAGTAGAATTAGGCTACTGCACAGTTAGCATCTCATGTAGATGCACCCAGTGATACATATGCCCCAGTTTGATGGGTATCCATTCACCTCATCAGCTATCCCAGTCTAACAGAAACCAGCTCTGATCATTTTCTAGGAGAATATAAATTCTCCACAAGCCACTGAACAATTCTTAATTCTAAATTGGTGACTTACAGGTGCCCAAGGTTGAGATATACATCTCTTATAAACATCATCTCAGCTCTGACACAGCAGATGCTGTTCACATTTAATTTAGTCAAATATGTTTCTGAATCTCTTTTTTAAACCTCCCATGATTTGGTGAGAAATGCCAGATTAGCAGCCTTGGAAATGAAAACCTATTTATTTCCAGAACAGGTTTCAACCCAGAGCATCAGAGACTTGCTCCCTGGCCTCTGCTGAGAGAACCAACACAAGGCAATTGTCACAGTGGTTTTATGATGTAGACATCAGTCCACAGAGAACTGGACCAAGACCAGCAGCTCATTTCACTCAAACCATTGAAGAGTCATCATCATCAGAATGCAGCAATTTCAGTTGCTACCAACCCAGCCAGAACTGATAACATTGGCTTTCATACTCTGACTATTGCCTATTCTCCAAATCACACCATCTATTTGAATTCTGCCGTTTGGTAAGGTACTGTCCTGCTCCAGGATATCCAAAAGTTAAGTATATACCACCCACACCTACCAACAGCAGCAGCATCTGGAGGCAAGAGGTCCTGAAATGAGTGTTGTTTGATCACAAACACATACATAATAATTCCTCTATGTTGCTATTACTACTGTTAACTATGTACTTCATCATCACCCTCCCAAAACATGGCTTCTTTAATGGAAAGGAGAGGACAGTGTCTATAGAACATCCCTTATGGACCAGTACAGAGCTGTGCCCCTCCCCCATGCTCTCATCATATCCCCCTGCTCCCCAAAGGCAGTCATTTCACAAGTGATGTCACCTGGCATTAAGGAGGCACAAAACCCAGTCCTGACTAGGATGGGGAAAGGTGGTAACAGTTTATATATTCTACCATTTTTCAAACAAAGTTAACTTAACCTTGCATTAGCAAGGCAGGGCCAATCACTATGCTGGCCATCCTAATTACATGTTATACCTCTACCCTGTATGCCTTCAGACTGTAAATTCCCAGAAGAAGGACTAGTCGATAAGCCCTCTTGTCTGTTTGGGAACACTACAGAGAATAAATAAGAAGTTAATCCTCTTTCTGGTACCAGAGACCTGTTCTCTCTGGTCTCTGCGGCAACCCAAAGACTGCCTGGAATCCAGATTATCCAGGAAGCAGCAGCGGCCCATTGTTTCTTTCTGGGCTGGAAGGTGCTCCTAGTGATCTCAAGATTCAGCCACCATACAATGTCATGTCTGCTGCTTGCAAGTGCCTTGGTTTGTTCTCATTTGTTATCTTTTTTTAAAAGCAAAGGATGCTTGATTTCTTCAAGAGACACTTCCTGCTTTACTCTTCTTAAGACATTGCATGTAACAAGGTATCCTGAGGATGACTATGATTTCACAATGTGGGGACCTATGACAACATCTAAAGAAAAACTAAGTTGGTGTTGAAATCCACAGCAAAAAAGCAACTCCTGCAATTCAATCATCCCCTAAAGCATTATGGGAGGAGAATATAAATACGAAAGGAAAAACATTTCCCTTTTCCGCCCCCCATCTGACCTTGGCAGCTCTGTAAGCAATTTCTGATAGAGCAAGGCCCCAAAACCACTCCCTGCAAAGAGATTAGGCCTCATTCACCCTGTTGGTTCTCCCCTTCTCTGCATTCATATCGTCCTGCATAAGAAACTGTTGCATAAGTCCCCATCTTTCCCTCTTGCTTTGCCATGATCTGAAATTCAGAGGGTGGTGGCATTCCTACTCATGCCCAAAGCCTGGAGGCTATTGCCATGTTTCAAGCCCTGCTTTCCCCCCTCCCCCACAGCAGACAGAAACAGTCTGTCTTTCTCGCTCTCCTCTGAGTGAATCTGAAAAGAAACAGAACAGGGCGACATAAAGCCAGCAACGTCAGGTTAACAGTAGTAAAGGCCAAGAGCCTGTGCATTTGGGATTGGCGGCTATCAGGAGAAAGTCATGAGCTGCCTCTAACCAGCCATGAACACAGGAAGATAGAGGAGTGACAGGTGAGGGACAGAGGGCAAGGGAAATGCAAAGAAGTACAAGGAAACATGGGCAGAGAAAATGAAGATGCCCTTATGAAACTCAAGCATGAAGCCTTAGAGAAAATGAGTCAGGAAGTGGTGGTGCAGCCCCTGAGTCACTACATCAGGTGAGGTGGAAGCTGCCCGGGGCTGCAAAGGAGAAGTCTCCCCTACATGACCCCCATGGGGCAAGCACACACAGCCTTCACGCAGAGACCAGGTAGGAGCCCACCTGCCTGCCCAGCCAGCTGCCAGCACAACCCTACCCAGCAAATGCCTAGGAAGCGCAAGTACGGCTTTGGTCGCCCAAAAGCAAAGCAGGGCAGTAACGTGGGAAGCTGCTCTGCTCCGGGTCAGGCTGTAGGAGTCAAAGGAGCCTGGTTGGCCACACGCACTTGGAGGTTGCTGTCACCAGGGCTGACACCCTTTGCTTCAGTGCCACGTGTGGACCCTGTCAGTGGCCGCCCCTCGTGGGAGGTGGCCACTGACAGCAGGGAGAGGAAAAGGCCAGCTACTGGGCACCCCTGGGGGGCAGGTGCTCCCCACACTGGGTGGCTCATGCCCCATCCCATCCTGCCAGCTACTGGGGGCTGGCGGGGTCACGTCAGCGGTACCCATGGGGCAGCCTGCGGACCTCAGGGTCTGGCCAGCCACCTCGTCCATCCGTCCGTCTTGCTCGCACTCGGGCCCCTGCACCCATCTGTCTGCTGGGGGCTGCCGTGGATTTTCCCCTGAGCCTGGACTTGATGCGCCCGGCCCCTGCCTGGGGGGCACCTAGCTGGGGGCACCGCCTGCCCACACACCCCCTGCCTAGGGCTTTTCTATCCCTCCCCCACAACCCCACCCCGAGT